TGAAGGCGACGGGGGGGAAGTGAAGGCGATGGAGGGGAAGTGAAGGCGACGGAGGGGAAGTGAAGGCGACGGGGGGGATGTGAAGGCGACGGGGGGGAAGTGAAGGCGACGGGCGGAGCGTTCGCGACGGGCGGAGCGTTCGCGACTGGCTGGGTTCGCGAAGGCGACGAGCTGCGGAAATGATGGCGACGACGCGGACGACAGAGAGCGGAAGCGTGGGACCTAGGGAAAGGAAAGCGAGGGCGAGGGGAGGGTCACGGTTGGTCGAACGGGTGTGATTCGATTTTCGATGCGGCGAGTTTACGCTACGCAGTAGTTACACAATAACCTGCATTTTGACACAAAATTCTTCACACAGCTAACACTAGCTTTGCGCGTCATCATCGAAATCCGCGCCTCCCACATCGTAAGGCGCATCTGATCTCTTTTGAGTGAACACCGACGCCCTGCCCTGTCTACGGGTATGGTCTATGCTTAATACTAAGCGTGCTATCTCAAACTGTGCACAGTTTGGTATGCAAGCGCTTTTCTGGTTGTGGGAAGCACCCCACCCATCATGGGAAACCAGAGACTTTTGTCGCAAATTGTTTCGCGAGTTGAAAGTCTCTCGCAACCCAACCGAACCTCTCCGTGCCTGCCTCCCGAACCTAGTTTTTAGCGTTGACTTCCGTTGAGTAATTCAGGTCTTGGGCTTTAAAGGGGATTTACTGTTCTCTTTGAACAATACCTCCCAAACCATCCCCTAAAAGGCGTTCCTGGGGATGGCCCGGACATTAGCGGGAATTGATCAGACTGGGGCCCCGGGTTAGCAGAAACAGTGCCAACTTGGGGCCTCGTGAGTCGCGACCCTACGAAATAGGCCCGAAGCAAATCACAAGACTGGGCAGCAGGTCCGAACCTGGCAAACTCGCCAGGTCACCACCTACTGCCTTGGGTTTGACGGAAATCGCTAGCACCCCACACCGCTGGAAGCACAACAATCCGTCAAACCAACACAGTCTGATCGAGATACAGCACAAGCAGCATGTAACAAACAACTCGGAATTATTACGGAAACATAAGACTGCCAGAACACAAAGAGCTGAAACATGAAAATTAATAAAATGAGTGGGCACAAAATGGGGAGGTTCATGACCTTTTTCTGTTAGAGAAATTTCAACCAACCTACCCACATTCTTTCAGAATATGTATACATACATATATGATTTACATGCAAGTGCTTCCCTTGTAAAATCTTCGATGAAAAATCTTCTACCGTATTCCCCCGGATATACCACCCTAGGGTGCTATGATAACTACACAAAAAAAAGGGGGGGTCTTGTCATCGGAAAAAGCTTCATTGCACCCGGGTCTTTACATAATGTGTATTTTTTTTATAGCGTAAAACGATTAGTACTAAATGTACATCTGTATTTTTAGAAGATACCCCCTCGCTATACATTTGCCCCTAACTCCTACACTTTCTTAACTCGTACACACAAATAGGTGTCTTATAATGAGGCTAGCCTGTTTATAAGAGACACCCGTATAATAGACAACCCCTGTCTACTATTCAACACTGTCTTATATCCGGGCGATGACGGTAGGCACATGAAAAAAACACCACGCATTTCGTTATTGTATCGCTGATAGCAGGTGCGGGTTACAAGAGTTTTTTTGGGGTGAAAGAAGGATTTGAGGTGCCAGAACTGAAGGGCTGTCAAGGAGATGCAGACAAGGAGACAAGCGAGACTCATGCACGTTATTCTAAAGTGTGTTGCGTTGACCACTCGCTGCAACTCCAACTCCCTGCGATTCACACGACAGTAAGGGAGGAAGGAAAGACAGGTTCTGGCACAATTAGTGCAGATGCAGTAGAGGAAAGAAGCGAGACTCGTGCCCGTCACTCTCAAGTGTGTTGCATTGACCACTCGCTGCAACTCCAGTTCCCTGCGATTTGAATGACAAGAAAGGGCAAGTGGGTCTGATGTGAATATGGGGTGTCAATGACAGTGTTGGCATGGCTTGGCTGTCAGGGAAATGCAGGCGAGGAGAGGAGTGAGACTCGTGCACGCCACTCTCAAGTGCGTCGCACTGACCATTTGCCGCAGCTTTGTTTCCCTGCAATTCAAAGTACAGCAACGGAAGCAGGTCAAGTGAAGTAAAGAGGAGGAGCAGGGCAAAGCAAAGCTGACGCGTTGACCATTGGCTACAGCAAGATGGCAGTAACATATCACCAAGATGGTGATACCGTAAGACAATCGGCCTGTACGACAATTTGTGAGTTGACAAGAACATCGACGCATGACACGCAAGTTATATATCACCAGCATGGTAAAGCGAGGGTTGCCTCTCACCTCTCGGCGGGGTATGAGGCAGCGCCGCAGCGCAAAGATAATCATGAGGGGTTTTAGGGTTTAGTGTTGTTGCCACTCACCACTCGTGGAAGAATTCTAGCTTATCCGCCACAGAGGCAGCCATGGTCTCTAAAGTTTGGAGCTCCGAGTCAAATGACTGCGAG